AAATCTTTAAAAAAAAAATAAAAATAAAAAATAAAAGAAAGTACAGGGAATTCCTATAGAGGCCCTTGCCCCCCACCCCCGCCCCAGCTTCCCCTTACTAACATCTTGCATTAGTGTGGATATTCATTACAATTGATGAGCCAATGTTGATAAACTTTTACTACTTAAAGTTCATAGATGACGTTAGGGTTCGCTCTGTGTTGTACATTAGAAAGTGCAGTAATGCATACATAGAATGGGTTTTGACAAATATGTGTATTCCACCATTATAGTATCATCAATATTTTCAATGCCCTGAAAACACCCCGTGCTCCACCTGTTCGTCCCCTCCCTTCCTCCAAATCCCTTTCAATCACTGATAGTTTTACTGTCTCCATAGTTTTGCCTTTTTCAGAATGTCATATACTTGGAATCATACAGTATGTGGCCTTTACAGATTGCATTTTTCACTTAGCAATATGCATTTAAAGTTACTCCGTGTCGGGACGCCTGGGTGGCTCAGTCGGTTAAGCATCTGCCTTCAGCTCAGGTCATGATCCCAGGGTCATGGGATCGAGTCCTGCATCAGGCTCCTTGCTTAGCAGGGAGCCTGCTTCTCCCTCTGCCTGCTGCTCCCCCTGCTTGTGCTCTCTCTCTTTCTCTCTCTCTGACAAATAAATAAAATCTTACCAAAAAAAAAAAAAGGTTACTCCATGTCATTCCATGGCATGATAGCACATTTCTTTTTAGTATTGAATAATATTCTATTGTCTAGATGTACCAGTTTGTTTATCCATTCACCTATTGAAGGTCATCTTAATTTCTTCCGATTTTGGTAATTATCAAAAAAGCCTGGGCACCTGGGTAGCCCAGTTGGTTAAGCGACTGCCTTCGGCTCAGGTCATGATCCTGGGGTCCCTGGATCGAGTCCCACATCTGGCTCCCTGCTCAGCGGGGAGTTTGCTTCTCCCTCTGACCTTCTCTCCTCTCATGCTCTCTCTCACTCTCCCTCTCTCTCAAATAAATAAATCTT